GTACCTGTATTTACACATCTTTATGCTAATTAAATTTGAATTGCTCCTGGCATTTATGAATGCACATGTTGAATGTTTAATTATATTTAACACTCAGCATTTAGAAAGTGTCTACTGGAAATATGCTGTAATTTACATTTTCTTATATTTATTTTAAACACAATTGAAACCAGTCAGTGACTATTTGTCCAATATTGCCGGACAAGGAAACAAAGAAAAAACAATATATGTGCTAGTTTTTTTTAATTTTAATTAAGCAAACAACATAATTTACCAACATTTTTCTTTTTAACTTCAAAGTTAATTTTGATTCGATTTTTTGCTTTTTCTGTGAGTTTCTCTCAAGCTTGAAAACTCAGGTGGATTGGGCAGCAGTATTTTTCCAAAAAAATGGCAAGGACCATCATTGTATCAAGCAATTTGTTACTATTTGGAATGAACACAGTCATTTAAGTTTATTGTATTTGTGCAAAGAACAATAAGATATAAAGAAGAACAAGATGTCAAGAAGAAGCATTGGAGAAAAATGACTTCTTTTTAATGTAGAGCTCATATATTTTAATTGTACAGAGAATGTAAATACAGAATGCCACTTTAAAGTAAGGCAGAAAATAGCTTGAGAACGTAATTAGAAATGAATGAAAGGCGAATCTAAAACTGATATTGGGAAACATTGCTTCAATCAGATTGTAGAAGGTTGCATATAGGAAGGATAACGGGGTTAAAAATATTGGTGTTCTTCAAGGTAATATTAAGAGCTGTGGTGGGAGAGTTAATGTGAGAGAGGAATGAGTTGCTTTGGGTGAAGTGACATTCCCATTACTGACTTGTGTTTCTGTCTTTATTGCTAATGTTGTTATTTTACACCGTGCAAATTTGACATCTGTGTTAACAACATTGAGCAAAAATAGTTCATCTCCTTTTAATATGGATAATTTGTACATGCAAGTCTCTTGTTCTCTCATATATTTGTGTGGTAAGATGCTTAATATACTAGAGAAATTTTCTAGTTGAACAGAGCAATATTGTCATTCATAAGATATAGTAGGAACTGCAGATGCTGGAGAATCCGAGACAACAAGGTGCAGGGCTGGATGAACACAGCAGGCCAAGCAGCATCTGCTCCTA